CTATTACATGCCAGTCAGAGGATTTTGTACTTAGAAGTAATAAGGAATTGCTCGAGTCTGTTGGCTGGTGAGGGGGAGAAATGCAGTATTTGTGATGGGACCAAACCTATGCTTTAGCATTTTGACTGCTGAGTGAAGTGCTCAAAGCAAGGAGACCAATTATAAGGCAGGCAGGTCCAAGCAAGGGAGTAATAAGGATCTCTATTTTGGTTGTGGCTATGTGAGTAGAAAGAATAAACATAGACAAGACATTTTGTGATGGTAGAAACAAGATTTGACAGTATATTGGGTTTGAGCAAGTGAGACATCAAGGAGGACACAGAAATTATTGTCCTGATTGAATGGGAGGATGGTGGTGTCCCTAGCAGTAATAGGAAACTTGGGAAGAGGGCATGGTTTGGGGAAAAGATAATGAATGGGACACAGTGGACATACTGAGTTTAAGATGTCGAAAAAGCAGTTGGTGGCTTGAGAAGGAACCTCAAGGAGAAAGCCTAGGACTGAATATGTAGATATGAGAATCCTCCGAAAGAGCTACTGAGATCACCAAGGGAGATACTATGGAGGAGGAATAAGGAGGTCCACAGGGACATTTTTGTGGTAGCAAAGAACTAGAAGGAAAATAGGTGTCCATTCATTTGGGGAATGGCTGGACAAATTGTAAAATAGAATTTAATACAATATTATTGCATCATAAAAACAACCAACATAAGTAATTCAGACAAATAAGGAAAATTTATATGAATTGACTCAGTGACAAGCAGAACCAGGAGGACAGTTTACACTGTGAGTGCAGTAATGTGAAGGAAGATAACCTTGAAACATTTCAAATCTCCGGCCAGTGCAGTGACTAATCATAACTTCAGAAGACAAATTATAAAGTCCTCTCTCTCAGCAAAGAAGTGATGGATCAGGGGTGCAGAACAAGGCAAAAGTTTTTGCTTCACTACACTTATTTCTTATATGGGAGAGCTTTATTAGGGATGTGGGGGAGACTGGGAAGGAATAATAATTTTTTTTTAAAAAGAGAGCTTCATTCAAATCGGGCCTCAGATGCTTGACACTTACTAGCTGTGTGACCCTGGGCAAGTCACTTAACCCCGATTGCCTCACCAAAAAGCAAAAAGAGAGAGAGAGAGAGAGAGAGAGACAGTGCTCTTCAACATTAACCTTGTTGAAAAAGATAGGGAACTTTGATTTTCTAAGTAGGAGGCAGGGTAATCTACTGAGATAATGTATGTGTGTGACAGGCCTCATCATGTCACTCCCCTGTTTAAGAAGCTCTAAGGGTTCCCTGTAGCCTTTGGGAGCAAATATAAACTTCTCTAGCACTTTGAACTCCTACCAAATCTGGCTTCAGCCTACTTTTCAAGATGCATTATGCCTTTCTTCCCTTTGCACATTATATGGTCTGTCTAAATCATTCTTCTTCCTGTTCTTTAAACACACTACTCTACATTCCTTCTGTTGTGCCTTTGCACAGGCTGACCATAATTCCTGGAAGGGTCCCTTCTCTCACTTCTGCCCCCTTAGAATCACTAGCTTTCTTCAAAGCTCAGCTTTAGATACGATCCAAGTACCTTAAGGGCATGCATTGTTTTATTTTTGTCTTTGTATCTTCAGGACCTCGGACAGAGAAGTCACTTAATAAATGCCCATCAGTAGGTTACAAAGGGCTTTAAATGCCAAACAGAGTATTTTGTATTTAATCCTGAAGGTGAAAGGGAGCCACTGGAGTTTCTTGAGTAAGGGGATGATGTGGTAAGACCTGCCGTATAGGAAAACCACTTTATTGATTGAATGGAGGATCAGTTGAAATGGGGAGAGACTAGAGGCAGGTAGACCCACCAGCAGGCTATTGCAGTAATCCAGGTGTGAGCTCCTTAGGACCTATACTAGAGTGATAGCAGTGTCAGAGGGGAGAAGGGGGCATATAGGAGAGATGTTGCAGAGGTGAAATTGACAGGCCTTGGCCTAACTAAACTAACTCTCACAAAATGAACAAATGGCATGAAAAGATTTCTGCAAAACAACCTGCAGATTGAAGATAATACTATTTCAAGCAGAAGTGGACAAACAAATGGCAGAGCTTGTATATTTCTACTGTATGAGCTTGTTATCAGCTGTGTTGAAAGGTAAGAATGATGACCTAATAAGATCTGACTAGAAATTAGCCAAAAAGAAAAAAGGTGACTTTTTAATAATAAATGAGAAAGTACCTACTTTTCAAAAAAGAAGCTTTTTCTATGAAATGGACATTTTGAAAATGAATATTTGGGAATGTTTCCATCATTTTGTGATTTCGTTGCTAAAACGATGTAACTATGTCATCTATAAAAACTTTCCTACCTTCATATATAAACTTAGAATCAAAATTTTCTAACATAGTTCAGAATCTTCCAAACAAAGACTTACAGTGAATTTTTTAACCCATTTACTTATTTGGTAAATATAACATTTTCTGAGAAAGAATGAATGATGTTAGGAAAGATGGAAATTTACTAGATATATTTCACCAAAAACCTTTGCATAATTGATGGATGGGATTGAAAAATTAAAATAATGATTTCTAAACACAGCTAATGATGCAATTCTCCCATTTGGATCTTATCTTTGGGAACTACTCTATGATAGGCATTAAATCCAAATCTTAAAATACACTGAACTTAGAACCAGGCCTTTGAACTGCTTTATTATGAAGTGTTATTGCAAGTTTTCCGGAATGGTGAAATCTATTCAATCACATTGCCTTCATTAAAAATAGTATTAATTATCATTTTAGAGGTTTATTGATTTCATCTTTATCTCATCCTTGGTTTCTATTTTTGTGTGCTTTAGAATGTATATTATATGTACATATTACAATAATATGTGTATATCATTTATATGCATGCTCCCAAATCTTTTTATTGATGAGTTGTGCAGTCACTGCCCTAGTTGAGGGAAAAAAATACCTCTCTTACTTACCTCTCCAGATTGTTAGGAGGATCAAATGAGATACTAAGCATGAGAGGAATGTTTATATAGTGCTATTTTCTTTTTAAGTGCTTTTTTCTTGGAAAGAAAAGACCTAATCTTCACTGTACTACTTATTGTTAAAAATTGGATTATTGAGATTTTTCTTGAGCAAGACTGGTAAACCAACCAGTGATTAGATATTAATACATCCTAGAAGTTTTAAATAGTTTTAAAATAGAAGTTTTAAATTCTTTTCAAGAAAAAGGCAATATGTAAATGTGACATCTTTCTCTAAGATAGAATGATGAATTTGTTTTCTTGTTTCTTATTTTACATAGATTTGGTGCCTCTATTATTATTTTTTATGGGATTCTGTTGGAATATATTTATATGGCTCATAGTCAAACTTGAACTCATTTTCCTATGTAGGACCTAGAGTCAGAAGGACCTGAGTTCAGATCCAGTCTCAGACCTTACTGACTATGTGACCCTAGGTAATTCACTTGACCTCACTAGGCCTCTGTTTTATCATCTGTGAAATGGGGATAATAATAGCACCTACCTGATGGGGTTGTATTTGTGAGTACCGAGTAGTATAATTTTAAAGCAAATGATATAGTTATCAGGTGATTTAACTATGTAAAGTACTTTGTAAATCTTAAAGCACTACATGAATTAGAGCTATTGTTTTTATTATTGTTGTTACTAGTAATCCTCAGTTGTAAAAATCAATCAATAAGCATTTAAGTACTGCCAGTGGGGGAAAAAATGATGTATGCAACACTCGAGCACAGTTTTCTATTCCCTTTTGTGGTGTTGGCTCATTTGATCCATGGTTTTTTTAGCTAATTTGTTCTTTATAATCACCTTGGTCGCTTATAGTTCCTCCTTAGATGTGAGTGTAACCAATTTGTTCCTCATTGCTACAAATTGGCTCTTGATAGTCAATTTCTGTGATATAAATCTAAGGATGTTTTTTGAAAATTAAAACCATGACAGACCTTTTGTTGTTTCTTTTTTTAAAATGTGTGTGGTCTTTAAAGTGTGGCCTTTAAAAAATTGATCCCATTTAAAATGATGTATACTAGTTTGTAGTCACGGGGAAAAAACATAATGGTGATTATGGATGACGAAACTTCAACAGGAGTCTTAATATATAAATTCCTAAGGAAACTAACAGCAAAAATTCTTTTCTTCCTAAAGTTAAGACTCGATATTTTATTCATCTTCGATATGTATACTTAACAAAAAAAAAATGTGAGAGATCTGTAGGTAGAATAAATGTGGGCGATAATAAATTTTGAAGAGCTTGGTCATTGATGTGTGAAAATATTAATAGTAAAGGAAGCCTGGTATTTGCTTACAGGATGTACACCACAGCATTTGAGCTCTCCCCATTCTTATAGTAAAATAGGGAACTGGTGTTTGTTTTTAACATTATCTTTGTCCTGTACCTAATTAGTACCTTACACTTTTGAAAATTCCAAATAAAACTTTTAGAATACAAACCTACTATTCCAGTTTTATTTGCTTTCTTCCCTTTAAACTTACATAAAACTAGGAAGCTGCCTTAAAAATGGGTTATTTTGCTTTTTATGCTATTGAAGGAGGAAAGATATCTACTCTACCATGAGCTATAAGACTAGTTTCAGTTGGAGGTGACACTATCTGCCATTTATTTGAAGTGACTGCTAAAATATAGATTTTTTTATATATTTCTTCTGTTGTTTCAGAAGAACTCAAAAAGGATAAATTGTATTGCTATGAATTCTAGAACTGGTAGTTAAGAAATTTAGGATTTCATTCTAGCTTAGACTTTGAACTTTATTATTAGATTTTGAACTGTCTACCTAGTCTTTAACACTTTAGTTGTCTAGTTTGTAAATTAGGGATAGTATTAAATGCTCATTTTCTTAGAATATTGTGAACATATTAATAGGAATTTTTGGAACTCTCCTCAGCATTTCTAATGTTTCCTATGGACTTTTCTCCCTTATAAATAATTTATTGAATGTCATTCTATCCTTGAATTTATCTTATAGTGTGTGCTGTACTTATGGAGTTTAAAGATTCATCATCCCAGAACGTTATTTCTGCTTCGAGGCAACCATGAATGCAGGCATCTCACAGAATACTTCACCTTTAGACAGGAATGTAAGTATAATTTGTTCTCTTTAGAAGAACATTTGTAAATAGTTGGGCCCACAATTAAAAGTATATATAAAAATAAAATGGTTATAATGTTATTGGTTTGTAAGGAATGTGTGTGTGTTTTTAATTTAAGGTTAAAATATGAGAAAGCAGCAAACAGGCCATGAATGCAGTATCTCAGAAGGTTTTCTTACATTATCTTTACCTCTGATTGTGACACCTTAGATTTACCCTTTTCCCTTAGAGGAAAAATTATCTCAGGAATTTTCAAAACTATATTCACCTGCTGGGGTTGGTTAACTTTTTTATTCCTTGCTTGAAAAAAGACTGAAATATGGTCAGAGCAATGTCCAAAAAAAATAAAAAAGTCATATTACTCTGAACATAGGGCATAGTTCCCCCCATATAAATCTAGTTTATATAATTTACATTTCTCTTGTGCTTTTAAGATTCACAAAGCCATTACCTTTGCAACAGCCTTATGAGGTAGAAAATGAAAAACATTCCTACTCCTATTTGCATGTAAGGAAAATTAAACCTATAGAGTTTAAGAAACTTGCCCATGGTCACACATCAATCCTGTTGCTGCTGGAGCCAAGACTCAAACCTAGGATTTCAGAATTGCTTTCCATCACATTCATTATGAAGCACTAGTGTAGCCTGTAATTTTGCTCTTAATACCATAGATTACTTAAGCCTGGGTGGTCTCCCTAATAGTAGAAGCAGTATCACTGACATCCTCATAGGCTCACACATGTGCTAGAGGAACCAATGTCCCCACTGCTAGTGTTACAAGGTAAGCCAATCCACTTGCAGCCTCTGAGGAACTGCCTGCAACCCTGGCTCTGTCTTTCTTGAAGATGAACATTTCATTGCAAAACCTATCTGTACTCCCTCCCCTTCCTTGTTACCCCTGGCAACTCCCCCCCTCCTTTCCTGAGGGTGGAGAAGAGCCTTTAGGAACGAGATGTGAGGAGTCCCTGTAAGTTCCCCTTCCTAAAGAGATGGCATCTTATCTCCTGGCTCTGACGATATTTCCCACTTGTAAGTGGGTTACAGTAAAGCAGCTGCTGGCAATAGATATGAGTCTATGAAGCTTATGTAACAGAGCAGAGGAAAAACATGTCAGGAGTTGTGGATGGACAGATCTCATGGAAATAGTGGAGTTTTCAAACTCTGTAGCTTTATGAGGGGCTATTCTATGAGCAGAGTGAAGTTTTAAAAAGGGAGGAGGGTCATAGAGTGAGAGAAGACAAGTGAGTGTTCCATCTGGTTAGATTTTAAATGACTGAGAAAATGACTAATGTCTGTTTCCCATCCTCAACACCCCCATTTCCCTGGGTTCCATTTAACTTGGTATGAGACTGCATTTTGTGATTATTTACCTGTAGAGAAAAAAAGTTCTACCATATTTTGTAGGCAGTAATTTTATATAATTTTTCATTGTATTCTGTTTTTTTCCAGTCAAAGAGATCTTATCGGGGGCAGCTAGGTGGCAAAGTGGATAGAGCATTGACCCTGGAGTCAGGAGGACCTAGGTTCAAATCTGGCCTCAGACACATAACACTCACTAGCTGTGTGACCCTGGGCAAGTCACTTAACCCCATTGCCTTGCCAAAAAAAGAGAGAGAGAGAGAGAGAGAGAGAGAGATCTTATCATGGGGGAGATGGATTGGCTGCATCAGTTTAGGGCAATGTGATAATCAGATATTTATTTTATTCATGTTAATTAAAGTCTTTATGACTTCTGCTTAAAATTGTTATAGCAATGGTTACTCTACCTTCACCTCTTTTTTTGGTGGTAACAGTGGTATCATTCAGTTTACCTTTAACCATGGGAGGAGGTGAAGATGGACCTGAAAAAATTTCTGTAACTCCTTCCCCTGCCACCATGAAAGTGTTCGGTTCACTGGCATAAGTTGGTAAACTCGTTTTCTTAAAATTATAAGATCAAATTTAATAATCATCTTAAACAATCTACTTAGTTTGAAACATTCAACATATTGTTGCTGGTACTTAATTTCTCCTTTTGAGCATTATTAGACTGTAGGTCAGTAGTGAAGAAAGCTAGGTGTATTAATCAGAATTAGAATGCATTTTGCTGTTTTCAGTGAAAATTTACCCCAGTTCACCCTGTTACTACTAAGTTCTTGATGACCATTAAAATGATCCTTTTTTGGGAAGATGTGGGAAAGGTATGGAACGGGTGGGGAACCTGGGGCCTTGAGGCCACATGTGGTCCTTTAGGTCCTCAAGTATGGTCCTTTGACTAAATCCAGACTTCACAGAACAAATCCATTTGGGTGGTTTTGAATTTGGTCAGGTAGTAAAGATGGTTACTCAAGGACTTTTTAACAACCAAGATTTTATTGTCAAAATTAAAGATGTGGAATTTTTTTGAGATCCGTAGAAATTTGAGCTAATTAAATGAGAAGAATACAATATTTATAATGGAGATGAATGCCTCAAAGTGACTTTAGAGAGCAAAAAATCCATTTGTTCTGTGAAGTTTGGATTCAGTCAAAGGAGGCCACTCTTGAGGACCTAGAGGGCCACATGTGGCCTTGAGGCCAAAGGTTCCCCACCCCTGATATAGAAAGACATCTTAAGTGTCTTCTGTGTGGAATTTTCCATCTCTGGAGTTTTATTTGCTTTTTACATGATTTTGCCACAATGATAAGTAGTTTGTACAAAGCAAAATGATTTTAGGAGAAAACTCCTCTCTGGTTTCTTTCCCTTTTTAAATGTCTATTGTTTTCTTTTAGTTCCTGTATAGTTTTGAGTCTGAACTGTGAAAAAAATTCACCTCAATGCAATTACAGGGTTTTAAAAATTTTTTGTTTGTTTTTGCTTTATTCCTGCATAAGGGATATCTATATGCTGTTCTGCAAAGCTATTTTCACTGACAGTCTGATCTCTGTTAAAGGGCCACCCTGAATTTTAGAATCAGCACCCTGTAATTACTAGCGAGTGATATTTAGTTCCAGATTGTTCAGCTGGGTCTTTTTACAGTTTGAAGAAAATAATTGACTTTATTCCTCTGTTAAAGTACCTAAACTGGGGGAAATCTTTACATTTCAGTGACTTTTATTAGTTAAAAACAATTCCCACCCTCTTTCTTTTCAAACACCAGATTTGAATTTTTAGTTTTGTTTTAGAAAAAAGTCGAAGGTAAAATTTCGGTTTGCTTACTCAGTCTCCTCAGACTAAAATTATCTTTTTGTCATTGTGTAATTGAAAACCTAGTGCTTTTACAGTTGATATCATATATCAAAATCAAAGATCTTAAAATTTAGAACAGCTCATGCAAACTGGTTCTTTATTTCTAAATTTGATCGTTTTTGGATACTTAGTTAAACAACAACTTAATAGAGAGGAGAAAGCCAATTTCTGGATTTTGCTAACAAAAGCAACATTGTTATTAGAATAAATTGGAAAAAGTGGTAATTTGGTCAAGACAGTGACTTTTTTCTTTGGTGTCTGGTCCCTATCCCTAATGTTCTTAAAGAATACCACAGCTTTGGGATTTTGAAAATGTGAGTTGCTGGAGAGGATTCTGGGATGATGGTGGAATAAGGCAGGAAATTACATGGTTCTCCCAAATTCCCCGACAAATAATTTAAAATAGTGCCTCAAAGTGACTTTAGAGAGCCAGAAATAATTAGAAGTTGGAGTAAAGCAGTTGTCCAACCTAAAACATTAGGTGGAGGACATTAGGAAAGACCTGACCTCCCAGGATGATGGTATGGCCTGATTGAAGTGCAGATACCTGGAGCAGATCCCAAAAAATCAACAAACAACAGGCCCTGGGGGAAGCTATGTTGGCAGCAGCCTCAGCTTCAGGAACTTATGTCCCATGGACAGTGTAGAGGTCAGACAGCTGATCAGGGGAAGATTGCAGGGCCCTCTGCTGGTGCTGGACACAGGTCCCAGGTACACTGACCAGATGAGGTCTCTGGCAGTTGCTATAGGCAAGAAGGAGTGAGGACACCTTGGTGAGTGGTCAAAGAGGAGAGGAGCCCTGCTGGCTGTATTCACTCACAAGAGAGCGGAGTCCCTGGTTTTGGTTCCAGGACAGAGGGGTGAGCTGAAGCTTGCAGCTGCAGGAAACACTACGAGGAATAAGAGCATTTGAGATGACAGCATAGCTAAGAAAGAGGGATAAGGTAAAAAGAGAGGGAGAGATGGATAAATAATGAGGAAAAATAGGGTGGAGGGAAATGCACAGCTAGTAATTATAACTTTGAACGTAAATGGGATGAACTTGGCCATAAAATGGAAACAGATAGCAGAATGGGTTAAAAAACAGATTCTGACCATGTTGTTTATAAGAAGCAAATTTAAAAATGAGAGATACACATAGAATAAAAATAAAAGACTGGAGTAAAATTTATTGTGCTTCAACTGATGCAGAAAAAGACAGGGGGGATAGCAATCATTATCTCAGACAAAATTAAAGCTAAAATAGATTTAATTAAAAGAGATAAACAAGGAAACTACATTTTTATAAAAGGTACTATAGATAATGAAGTAATACCAATACTATACCTATATGTATCAAATGTTGTTACATCCACATTTTTAAAGGAAAAGCTAAATGAATTACAGGTGGAAATAGATAGCAGAACTATAATAGTGGAGGACTTTAACCTTCCCTTCTCAGAACTAGATAAATCTAACAAAAAAATAAGAAACAAGTCACAGAGTTAGATAGAATCTTAGATAAGCTAGATATGATAGATACCTGGAGAAAATTGAATGGGAATAGAAAAGAATATACCTTTTTCTCAGTGGTATCTTTACAAAAATTGACCATATATTAGAGCATAAAACTTTATAATTAAATGTAGAAAAGCAGAAATATTAAATGCATCCTTTTCTGGTCATAATGCAATAAAAAATATATTTGATAAGAGACCATGAAAACACAGATTAAAAATTAATTGAAGACTAAATAACCTAATCTTGAAGAATGAGTGAGTTAAAGAACAAATCATATAAAC